TCTTCCCTGAAGGCTCTCTTGGTAATTATGTATTAGACCCGTGTCCAGCCCATGTAGCAATCCCTAAACTAATAGGAGGAATGGGTTTCTGCCTCTCCTTCCTCTGGATAGCTAGATGGATAAAAACATAATTCACTAGGTTATACATAAAAAGGACCCAATGAAGTATGGAAAGTAACCATACAGAGGATATCTAATTGAATAAAAATAAATGTATACACATATATGCTAATTGTAGAACAGTTTATGCATATCCTCCATAGGCAAATATAAAAACCAACTATTGCTACAAAATGCAGGAGGAAGAATGAACGTGATATGCCATAGTTATTTTCAACAAATATTTGTTGATTACTTCTTAACCAGATGGTGCCAGTAAGTACATCTCTGGTCAAAGCATATGGCTTACCTGACATTAGTCAGATAAAAGATTTCAAGAGCTAAGGAGAATGGTCAAAATCCAGGGCTACCCTCCTCTATCTCCCCATTCTCTTTCCTCCCCTTACAGTCAAACTCCTAGGAAAGGCTGTCTACTCTTCACTCACTTCTCAACCCCCCTGCAGTCTGGTTTCTTAACACTCAACTGAAAATTTCCAATTAACTAATAACCATTTTGGGTTTTTTTGTTTTGTTTTGCACCAAATGATCTCTTAACACATTTTAATTGTTATTCTTCTTGATCTCTTCACAACTTTAAACAGCTGACCCACTTACTTTCCTCTATGTGTTTTCATGACACTGCTCTCTCTTGGCTACCCTCCTACCTGTCTGACCTTTCCTTCTATCTTCTTTGCTGAATCATCATAGCTATCATGCCCCAAAATTCTTTTCTACATTCTTTTTTTGTGATTTAGTATTTTGTGATTTCCCCCAATTACATGTAAAAACAATTTTCAACATTCATTTTTAAAACTAGGTTCCAAATTCTCTCCCTTCCTCCCCATCCCCCACTGAGAAGGCAAGCTATTTGATACAGGTTACTACACTCTTTCTGATCTCATCAGATCCCATGGATCCAGTTATCATCTCTATGAAGATGACTCCCTGATAACTAGACCCTCACCTTTCTCCCGAGCTCCAGTTCCACATTACCAACTGATTACTGAACACATCAAACTCACCATATACCAAAGTTCTTCTGAACTTCCCTATTTTTCTTTCAAGGGTACCACTATCCTTTCACATACCCAGGTTTCAAAATGTCAGAGATAGCTTCAACTCACTCCATAAAGCTACGCAGTTGCCAAGTCTTATTGATTTTACCTTTACAATATCTCCCACATCCATCCCCTCCCTCTCTACTCACATGGCCACAACCCTAATTCAGGCTGTCATCACTCTTCATCTGGACTAATCCAAAAGCCTCCCAAATGGTCACCCTATGTCAAGGCTCTTTCCATCTAATCTATACTCCACACACCTGCCAAAGTAATATTCCTAACGCACAGGGCCCAACCACGTCACTCCTCTGCTCAGTAACTTCCAATGGCTATTACCTCTAGGATCAAATAAAACTATAGCTGGCATCTAAAAACTTTTACCTACCTTTGCAGATTATTCATTATTCCCCTTTCAAGAACCCTATAATCCAGCCCAGTGGTGTCAAGCTCAAAGAGAGATGAGAGCCACTAAACCATAGGTAAGGATCCCCACAAGCCGCATATTGACTTAGAAAACCACACATTAGCTTGTATTTTATTTTTATTTTGTTAAATATTTCCCCAACACATTTTAATGTGCTTTGGGCTACTCTTGGCAGTACTGTAGGCTCACCTCTGCTCCAGTCAAACTGGCCTTCCTACTGTTCCTCACATACAATATACTTCATCTCCCACAGCCTTGCTTTTGTACAAGCACAGATACATGCATGGCTATTTCATGCCTGAAAAGTATTCCCTCTCTCCCTTTGCCTATCAGAAACCCTACCTTCATTTAAAACGGTTCAAGAACCATATTCCATGTGAGATGACTCCCTATTACCTCTGGCTTTGAGTACTTCTCCCTCCAGTTACCTTCTTTACTCTGTGCATTTTACATACACACACACACACACACTCTTTTACACCTCCTTGATACTGCCTGGACCAGAACCTCAAACACCAGGCCTCTAATCTTATAGGTATTGAACCTCAGGCATCAGGTTTCTTATCTACAGAATGAGAGCCTTAGACACCACTTCCTTCACCTTCAAGACCTCGACCAAACCCACAGGCTCAGACACCAGACCCTCACCTCAAGGACCAGAGCTTTAGACACCAGGCCCATCATTTCCAGGAAACAGCCTCAGATACTAGACATAGCAAAATGTCTTACACACAGCAGGTACTTAATAAATGTTAAACGAATGAACTCAGACTCCTCCCCTTTCAGTAGCATTAGCAAATAGCACCACCTGAATTCATACAACTCAGCTGAGGAAAAAACAAGAACAGCCGCTAAATAAGCCATAGAGGAGATGATTGATCAACAGTTGAGGAGAGTGTACCAAGTCTGGAGTGGTGACAGATAGCTGCATACAGAAAATCTGGTAGAAGTCAATGAATTACACATAACAGACCAATGGCACCAGTGAGATTTTCATTCTCTGAGATGATCGTTTGATAATCCTATAGAGGTGACCACAGACCATTTGTGGTTACTCTTTGGTTTCCTTTCTATGGTTTCATCACAGCATCAGGGGTGGTAGTAGTAGTATGGGATGGAAGGAGGAAGGGATGAGGAATGAGGGGAGAACACAGAAACTGTAGCAGAACTGGACAGACACCTTTATGTTCACAAAAGTAGAGTTGGGGTGTCTAGTATACAAACTGGGGCTGCGCGGATAGAGTTAAATCTCCAAATGCTGAATACCGTTTATCTTTTTTTTTAAGAAGATAACAGTGAACTGAAAAATCAATTTGAATTTTAAATCATATTTAGGACACTTGGGGACTAAAGCCCTCTTGGGGAATCGAGGTTAGGAATCAAGACACTAGAGAGAAAAGAGAGTGTACCCTATCTACAATGCCTGAAATATAAATAGCCTCAGATCCTCATTTGGGCGTTTAACTTATTATCACTGACTAGTCAAATATTTAAAGAATAAAGAAAAACTACTTAAATTTTCTCTTCCTCACCTACCCTTGGTAAGAATATTAACAGTTAAGCTCATAATTAGGATCTACAGAATGGTCTTCATGTTTTGAGAATAAATAAGATGCTTCAGGGAAAACACGAAAAAAGAATACTTAACAGAGGGCGGTGAGGATATCTAGCTTGAATAAGTCAGTTGCCTTTCTGGGGATCAATTCCATTATTACCTTACATTTCAGTATTAAGCCATCTTGCAATTATAGAACTCATTTTCCCTTAACTTCCGGATTGCCTCGCGGTCTATCCTTCCCCTCTTCTAGCTCCACCCTATTCCGCCATTATTCACCACACTACACAAAATGGCCGAAGGCAATGACGCAGACACCTTTGCTAGAATACCCATAGCAAGGCGGAACCCACCACTTTTAAAGGCCGCTTATTTTCTTTCTGGGTATTAGGAATTTTACCTTATTTTTTTATATCGAACTCAAGTCCCTAGGCTTTTTTTTTTTACATCAAGCTCAAATCCCTGGGCTCCTAGATTTGCATTCCGCAATCAAGCCGAAATCACTTTAGTCTTCCTCCTAGGAGTAACCCTTATTATCTTTTAAAAGCCATTTAAGATGGCGTCTACCTTAACTAGTTGTGTGACCCTGGGAAAGTCACTTAACCCCATTGCCTCGTGGGGGGGGGGTAAGGGGGGGGAGACGGCATCTACACAAAGTAAAAAAACACCTGCCCTTGCCTGAAGTCCTCCAGGGAGAAGGCAATTTTCCTCTCCTAGCCAGCCTCTTCCGCCTCGACATAACTTCGTTAATTTTTCCTAATTTCTTTACATCGAGCCTAAACACCATTACTCCAAATTCTGCCCCGCTATACCCCCCCCAACGCCCTGCCCCGCTCCCCACCTAGCTGAATAAAGCGTCCTCCACTAACTGTCCAACACGGTAAAAAGCCTAGTAAAAGACGACAGGGCATCAAATTTTTAAAAATCTCAATATAACGCCGGAGAGGGATGGGTGGGTGGGGAGCGAAGGGACACTCACATTCTCCTGCAACGGCAGCCGGGGCTCTGCTCTGCCCTTTCCTTCCACCAAAAAGGCCACAGGGCATCGATCGCCCAGGCCCATAGCCTGAAGGCCTGCTCCTCGAGGGGCATTCGGCTACGTCCCGGGTTGGCTCCTTCGGGGGAACGACGGCTAAGACGTCCGCCCTTCCTCCCACAGAGCCCAGCACGCGAATGCCCTCCCAGACCACGACCACAAGCCTAATCCTCCTGCCACGGGGTCGCCCTTCCAATCTGGCAGGGGCTAAGAGGGTGGGACTTTAAAAAAGGGGAGGGCAAGTTTGCAGGGGAGGACGAGTGGGAGGGGCGGGAAAGGGTTTGAAAACCAAGTCTTCCCAGAGGGTGTAACGGCGGGAAAATTGCTAAGACTAGCGAGGCACGCTGTCTCTCTAGGTTGGAAGCCGCCTTCCCGCCCTTTTCCCCCCCCCCGCCTTCCCGCCCTTTTCCCCCCCCCCCCGTCTTCCCTCAATCTGGCTGGTCTCTTCCTCCCCAACTCAACTGGCCGCTTTTTTCCTTCCTCTAGGCTTTCTCTCTGCAACCCCCCTCCCCTTCCCTTCCTCTCCTTCCCCAGCTCCTCTACTCCCGACCCAGGCCATCGCCTTCTCTCTCAGCCCAACTCGCCTCCCACGCTGAGAAAAGTCGAGCGAACTTTCCCTCTACACACTACTCACAGACTACCTCCGCCTCGGGACGCTCCGCCTGTGAGCGCATGCTCAGTGGGCTTCAACGGAGCCCCACCCGACTCTGCTCATCCCCCCTCCCTTTGGTTAGAGCCCGAAGGTTTCGTCAGGGTTCGGAGCGCATGCTCAGTCCCTTTACGGAAGCCGGTTAGGGAGGAGTTGGGGGTGGGGGGGAAGAGGAGGCGGCCTCTAGGGCCTCGGGAGGAGGAGAAGGGGGAGGAGGAGGAGGAGGCTAAGGCAAAAGAGGAAAGACACGGACCCGAAGCAACGGCGGGACGGGTAGCACCATGAATCCGTTGTGACGCGCGACTAGAGCGGTGTCGGGGAGGAAGGAGAGGAGTAAGCAGCGGAGTTCTTCGCCATGAACCTGAGGGGCCTCTTCCAGGACTTTAACCCAAGGTGAGGCCGCGCAGCGCCCCCCGGGAAGGGAAGGGCCAGAGACACCGGGAGGGAAGAAGCAGGAGGTGGGGGGAAGCAGCGAGAGCAGCTTCGGGGAACCAGGAAAGAGATCCTGAGGCTCGATCTGTGGGCCCCTCTGCTTTCTCTTTTCCTATTTAAAGGTCCTTTCCTGTAAACGACCCTTGTTCTCTCCTTCATTCTTCTCCTCCCATGACATTATCATCAGTTCCCCTCACCCCTCCTAGGCCAAACGTTGACTGTCTGCTTTCAAGTTGTCAGTTCACACACACACACACACACACACACACACACACACACACACACACACACACACTCTCTCTCTCTCTCTCTCTCTCTCTCTCTCTCTCTCTCTCTCTCTCTCTCTCTCTCTCACACACCCCCACACACCCCCACCCCCAACCAAGGGACCGCTTCCACTCCCTCCCCCCCTTCATTGTTTTCACCACTTCCTTCTCCTTCCCTTGCTCTTTCTCCCACCCCCTCTGCCCTGCAGGGCTTAGCATCAGACCTCTTTCATTTCTCTAACCCTTGTGTTAGTACACTGCTCTCTGGCCCTACTACTCTAAACCCCTCAGGTTTTCCTTGATTTAGCAACCCTGTGCTTTGATCTCCCTTGATTTTTCTTTTATCTATTTATTTGTTTGTTTGTTTATTTTGCTGAATTTGTACCTGGAACCCAGCCTAGAGTTGATGGCAACATATATTGGTACTTGCCTTACATAGCATCTTTTAATGAGAAACTTAGAATTTTCCACCTTCTTATTTCACTGTACAGCTTGGTAGGTACTGCTACAGCCATCCCTTTGTGATTACCTCCCATTTATGCTGTATGTGTGAATATAAATATGTATATATATATATATAATATATATATATTATATATATATATTATATATATATAATATATATATTATATATATATAATATATATATTATATATACGATTGTTTGAACCTTTTCTCTCTCATTAAACTGTGAGCTCTTTGAGAACAGACTGTAATTTTGCCCTTTTTTGTATCCCAGAGCTTGGCACAATACCTGGCACATAACATGGGCTTAATAAATGCTTGGTGACTGACTGACTGAATCAAGAATTGGGTTCCTTATTTCACAGATGGAAAAACTGAGGCAGAGAGTCATGATTTTCCTCATCACATTAGTGTTGAACCAGGCTATAATTGTCATCCTGTATACAGCAATGCCTCTGTGGAACCTACACTCCATATTCTAGGCAAAAATCCTGGGTCAGGAAAAAGGTCACTGGAAGTTTTGTAATATAGAGGCATACATTGTAGTGGGGTGTGTATATGTGTGTGTGTGTGATAGAAATAGGCTGCATCATTGTTAGCCTTATAGGTATGTTGTATGGGGAATGGAGAACTTTTTCAATGCTTCAGAAATGGGTTTTCCACTACCACAGCAGATGCCACTAAGAGCTAATGGTTGATCTGCATTCATTCACCAAACGTGTTAAGTGCCTGTTGTTTGCAGAGCATTGTGCTAAGGGGGAGGGGAAGAGTATATAAAGTCTAAATAAAACATAGGTTCTGTCTAAGTAGATCTACCAAAGTGCTATATGGGGGGGGGGGTAGAACTGGTATAAAACATACATTACATGATAGGTTCATTAGAGAATTTCAAAATAATAAAGGGGATGAGGAAGGACTTCTTGGAGAAGGTGATGTGTGAAGTGGACTCTAAAGGATGGGGTAGAAACTTAAGATAAGAAAGGTTGAGGGGGTGGACCTCCAGACCTGTGGAATACTGTGAGCAGAGGTATACATGAGGAAGAGGTGCAGGTTGAGTTAGGGGTTTGAAGGAGAACAGAGAGAATAGCTCAGTTTTCTTGAGGACAGCACATGATGCCTGAAGAGAAGTAAAATGAAGTTGTATGACATAGGATTGTGGGGGCCCATGGATGCCAGAAAGAGGAGTTTGACCCTGATTTGGTAGGCAGTAGAAAACCAATCAGGGTGTTTGAGGAGTGGCATGCTGAAATGTATGCAGGCAAACATTAAGAGTTTTGGCAATGCGAAGAATGGATTGAAGGGGGTGGAATTAGAAATAAAGTGCCAAAAAAAAGAGAGTTTCTTTAATGAAGAGAATGAGAAAACTTATTAAAAACTGAACTTGTGGTACAGTGGAGAAAACACTAGTTCCGGAGTTGAGGATCTAAATTCAAATCCTCTGTTATCTTGGGCAAATCATTTAATCTCCTGGGACCTCTGTTTTCTTCCTAATCAGTTAAATGAGGGACTTGGACTAGATAAGCTCTGGGGCCCTATTCTGATCTAGAGCTATGATGTTAGGAACCTGCTGTGTGGCCTGGGACCACTGGTCTGTTTGTCTTAGCGGTGAAGAGAGTTGGATCTCTCACGAGAAATGTGACAGTGATTGTACAGCACTTCCCTGCCAAAAAGTGTTCCAAATTTGTTGGATAATCAAACAATTCAAAATTCAAAAGGAATTGGAAGTAATTACCCATGGTATAACACTGGATTTGGAGTCAGATGACCTGGGATCTAGATGATCTCCAAGGTCCCTTCCAACTCCCAATCTGTGACCCTCTGACTAAGGGTTTGGCAAGGAGAACTTTGCTGTTGCAGCTACAAAAACATTAGCAAGAGTTTTTTTGTTTTTGTTTTCTAACATTTTTGGTATGTTGCGTTTCTTCTGAGATCAGTATAAGAAAATTTTGTATCCCAAAACAGGCATTTGATAATTATCAACTTATTATTTTAATTCTACTACAAGCTACATATACTTGAAAAGTTAAACTGTCTTTTGTATTGTAGTTTAACTATCTTTTGTATTGTATTTTTGTATTGGCACACTTTGAAGTCATTAAGAATGAACTGGATTGTAGAGATTCCAAGAGATGTGTTTTTTTTTCTCTTGAAACTAAAGACTGTTGATTGGTAATGTTAACAAATCAGAGTTTTACATCAGTTTAGTGGGATTAGAAGGGATAGAAAGGCTGTAGTTGGCACTGTTGAAGAATTTGATATGTTTTGCACAATAGACTTGCCTTTATGGAATCTTTTCCTTTTTGCATGTTAAGAAGGGTCCTTGGGACACACACTTGGTGCTATTCAACATCAATTCAACAAACATTAGGCCCCGTGTTCCAGGCATAGCAGTAATCTGGTACAGTGAATAGAATTCTAGGCTTTGAGTAAGGAAGACCTCAGTTCAATACCACCAGGATAGAGTGGCCTAGTGACCTCGGGCAAGTTGCTTAACCTCAGACAATTCCCCAGGAACCCTGTCCATGACTTAATAGATGTCTGCCTTGACTGGAGTTTCCCACTCTGAGCTGGCGAGTATTGTGCTAGGTACAGAAAAATGAAAAAGCACACACATTCTGTGCCCTTTCCTTCAGGTGACTTATTATCCAATGTTGAATTAGGGAGACAACCTGTGCTAGAGAGTGTGGGTCCCTGCCTTATAATGCTCCCTTTTTAAAAGGCACTATACATGTAATAGAAAGATTACTGGGCTATCAGATTGCTTGCCTTCTTGGGGAGGGGGAAAGGGAGAGATGGAGGGAGAAAAATTTAGAACTCAAAATCTCATTAAAAATGGATGTTGAAAATTGGTTTTACATGTCATTGGAAAAAATAAAATACTATTTACATAAAAAAAGAAAGAATAACTGGTTCGGTTCTGTGAAATTTGCCGTTGATAATAATTGAGTCACTCTTTGGACTTAGAATTGTAAAACAATAATATTTGATTAGATCAGGGATTCTTAACCCGGATTCCATGTACTTTTAAAATATAGATAGATGGATAGATAGCTATATTTTTGCATAGTTGATTTCCTTTGTAAATTCAGGTATTTTATTTTATTTTATGCATTTTAAAACATTCTGAGAAGGGGTCCATGGGTTTCACCAGACTGATGGCCCAAGACAGCAGTAGGGAACCTGTGGCCTCTAGGTCCTCAAGTGCAGCCCTTTGACTGAATCCAAACTTCACAAGTTGAGGCCACAGGTTCCCCACCCCTGGCCTAAGGGATCCAAGACCCCAAAAAAGGTTAAGAACCTCTGAACTAGATGATCAATAAGGCCCCTCCCTGGCTCCAAGATTCTAAGAAGCAGTGGTAGTCTCATGCTCCCTAGAGAATCCTACAATCTAGAAGCCTTTAGGGGAAACCTCATGCTGTTATTTTCAACTACTACTTCCATGGAGTCCTGAAGTATGGGTATCCCATACCTACCCCTCACACCCCCCCATCAAAAACAAATCGTCATTATTTCTCATGGGAGAGGCCCAAAGCTGTGGCAGGTTCCTAAACTCAACAGTGGACCTGGATCATTCCAGCCTTCTGAGTCTAGGATAGCCTTTTCCCCCCATGCTATAGGAGTTGAAGTGACCAGGATGTTTTTTTCAGGTTAGGGCTGATGCTGATTTCTCAGCACTCAAATGGACAGGCTGGGTTACCAGGTAACAGCTGTGAGCCTATTTCCAGCATCATGAAATTCTTTTCACAATTACTGTCTAGTTTCACAGCAAGTTAAGACCTGCTGAATCAGATATGTTTGCTTCATCAGCAGTCATTACCTGCATGAATGAGGCTTTCTAATGACTGGGGCACCCTAGTCATGGGATTTTTAAACCTCAATTCAGAGTAGCTGCTGGTTTACATGTATCCAGAGCATCAGTGTGACTACTTTAATCCTTTTCTAGAGTCATGAAAGCTGGAGATTCCTTACCACTTCAGAGATACTGCAGGGGATAAAAAAGGCTGCCCAATATCTGTGGCCTAAGAGCCATCTTCCGAAGCATGTAAACTCTAAGATAGAACTGAGATCTTGGCATCCTTTTCTACAAATTAGAGTCTGGGGTCAGCATCCTTCCAGCATGGATTGTTAAATGAAGCTGAGGGGGAAGGGAGGCAAGGTAAGAAGAGAGGGAAGGAAAGGAGAGGACTCATCAACTAGTCGTTTTAAAAAGTCAGTATGTTACATCTTTTA